TCAAGAAATTGCTGCCATTCCGCATGAAATGACCCGTTGATTTATGGACAAATTTCGTGAACGTTTTCGATACTCTATGGAAAGTAATCGCACCCTCTTGATTGATTTAATTTTTAAAACGAAAGGAAAAAAATGGCATTCTATCTACAATTCGAAAATAAAAACACATTTTACTCTATTTCGCTTTTATTAAACCTAGAAATATAGCAGATTATTTTGCCTACCCTATATATATATATATATATATATATATATATATGTATGTGTGTGTGTGTGTGTGTGTGTTATTCACAGACAGTACTGTTTTGCAGTTCCTCAGCGCGACTAGACAACCGAATGCCTCAAGCCCGGATAAAAACCCAACCGATTTGGTGCCAGTCAGAGCTTCTACCACTGAGCCATCGACAGAACGAGTCCGCCAAATCTAGCGTATTGTTTTTACAAACGTAAACAAACGCCAAGCAGCCATAGTGTTCCATTCATTTTACTGACATTTACGCAGGTGGCTGTTGGTTTTAGAATTTAGCTTGTCGTTCAACAGTGCTCAATTGGAAATATATTTTCAAGAGCTAAATTATGTCATTCGCAGACAGTGCTGTTTCAATGTTTCACATCTCCTCAGTGCGACTAGACAACCGAACGCCTCAAGCCCGGATCGAAACCCAACCGATTTGGTGCCAATCAGAGCTTCTACTACTGATATAATTCCTGGGTAAAATGATAAACTACATCCGGCTGCAAGGTTCTTAATCCGGTTTTAATTGCTGACCCGGAGTGGTAGGGTCTCATCTATCGGCCAAATATTGAACACCCAAAACAAAATCAAAGAGAAACTCGGATTAGTTCCACCACGGAATTTGTGAACGAGAGGCGCTCTATCGAGTCTAATTCGTTACCCCTCCGTAACCGAGAACCGTTGGTACAGTTGGTATGGTGTTTGCCTCCTATCGTAACTGTTCGGGTTTCAATTCTCGGTAGTGGATGCTCACTGCTGATGAATCCCAAATATAGGACAAAACGGCTGTCCCGTGCATTCTGTTGAGGTTTCTTCTAGACTCAATGAATTACTTCATTATGATATATATATATATGAAGAAATTTCGTTTTAAGGTATGCTTTATTTATGAGATAAAGTCCTCTATATCAGAATAAATATGAAAATCATGTGGCCTGATGATTGCGTTTAACCTGAAACAGTCTGTCGCCTCTGAGTATTGACATCAATGTTCACTTTTATATATATATAGAGAGAGAGAGAGAAAGAGAGAGGGTGCGATGGGTAAGTTGTCGGCATTTTATATTTTTAATTTCGAGCATGCGCGTTGTTGTTATCTTGTCGCCTGCACTGTACAGTAGAATCAGTTGTGCGCCATCTGTGAGAAAAAGAGCACCATGATGCAATTCATTCCGTCAGAAATTTGAAAATGGCATACTGTACTGCTTAGCATTCGCAGTAGCGGCTCCAATACAAACATTTCGGAGTGTTGAGGTGTCAATGTGAGGTCAATGCAGAGGAATCGGAAAGAGTTAAATGAGTCTAATAGTGATTACGAATGTATTTTGAGTGATTACTCATGATGGTGACGTTATGCCTCCATTCATTCTTCCCACAGGGCCTCAAACTCAACACGAAGGCCTACACCAGGTGCCTTGAAGAGGTAGTGCTGCCCTGTGTCAACTATCCTAAACGTTCTACATGACCGACACTTTCGTCTATTCTATCAGCCACGATCAATATATATATATATATATATATATATATATATATATATATATATATATATACACGCACACAAACAGACATATATATATATATATATATATATATATATATATATATATATATATATATATATATATGCATGTTTCATTAAAAACGACAGACAAAAAATTACAACAGTTAAGCTTTTTATTTAATTTTCCATGTGTTCTAACAAGAGCTTTCTTTTCTGGACAAAGGGTGTGTAAGAACTGTCCAAATGTTTTATATTTCCGAGCGCTTTCAGCTAAACCTTTAGCCATTATCAAGGATGATTCGATATATATACCCATGTTTTCCAAATATATACATACATATATATATATATATATATATATATATATATATATATATGTATGTATGTATATATATATATTTGGAAAACATGGGTATATATATATATATATATATATATATATATATATGGAAAACATGGAGATATATATATATGTATATATACAAGGTAACCAAAAAAAAGTTTTGTCCGTTTTTTGATTAGTCATTGAATGAAGTTGAAATATATACGAAATGCGTGTAGCAATTGTTTTCAAATTCGTACAGCCGGAAGTAGGAACATCAGACGTTATAAAAAAACACACGCACCGTGCCCGGCCATCAGGTATAAGCCGGACAGCTGTGAGAAGGATGGAAGTGTCTAGAGATCTCGTTCGGGGCTGTTTGCTTTACGACTTCAAAGTGGGCTTATCAGCAGCTGCATCAAGTCGCCGCATATGTCAAGCGATTGGGGATAGTGCTGTGGATGAATGTACTGCAAGGCGATGGTTTCGAATATTCAAATCGGGAGATTTGTCTCTCCATGATGTGCCTCACAGTGGATGACCACAGGTCTTGAATGACGGAGTCCTGAAGGCGGCCATTGAAGAGGACAGTAGTCTAACGTGTGGTGAACTTGCAAGACAGTTCAACGTTTCCGATGAAACAGTTAGACTTCACCTGCACCGCCTAGGTAAGACGTACAAACTGAGCAAGTGGGTTCCGCAAACGCTGTTGGAGGTCCACAAGGGACAACGAGTGGCAGCCTGCGTATCGCTGCTTTCTCCCCACCGTACCGCAACCTTATTCAATCGAGTGCTTACCAGTGATGAAAAGTGGATTCTGTACGAAACTTCCAAGCATTCCAGACATTGGTTGTCTCCTCAGGATGCTGTCCCTCACACCGCAAGACCGCCTATGAACCCACGCAAGATTATGCTTTGTGTCTGGTGGACAGGTCGTTAAGTGGTTCATTATGAACTGCTACCAACGGACCAAACAGTCACTGGAGACCTATACTCGCAGCAATTGAAACGTGTGCAACAGGCATTGCGCCAGAAGGAGCCAGCACTGGTGAATCACAAAGGAGTGCTTTTCCTCCATGACAACGCCAGGCCGCATGTCGCGCGAGTGGTCAGGGATACCATACAGCAACTTGGATGGGAGACTTTGTGCTATCCACCTTATTCACCTGGCCTTGTGCCATCCGATTACCACGTCTTCCACTCCCTCGATAATCATCTTCGTGGGAAATCCTTCAGCAATGAAGCAGACTTGCGCAAAGCCCTCACGGACTTCTTTGCGTCAACCCCCCCCGGTTCTACCGCAATGGCATTGAACAGCTGAAGACACGTTGGCAGAAGGTGCTGATAGCCGATGGCGATTATTTCGAAGTCTAAATATAAGTTTTCTTTTTTTTCTTTAAAAACGGACAGAACTTTTTTGATTACCATGTACATGTATTTGGAAAACATGAATATATATCTGTTATTTCGCCGGATTCTCATTCAAACTATACGCACACACACACACACACACACACACACACACACACACACGCACACACACACGCACACACACACACATGTACGCACGCGCGTGCTCACACGCACACACAGGCACACATAAGCTCACATGCACACATAAGCTCACATGCTCACACGCACACACAGGCACACATAAGCTCACATGCACACATAAGCTCACATGCTCACACGCACACACAGGCACACATAAGCTCACATGCACATGTACGCACACGCGCGCACTTCCATACGCTCACACACACACACACGCACACACACGCACCGATGCGCTCGTTCTATTGCCTAATGATTAAAAGAGCTTTTATTTCGTGCCAATATTTTTCATCAGAATAATTTCCTTCCTTGAAAAAAGCACTTGCTTCAATTAGCGAACATAGGCCGAACATTATACAATGAACATTTTCACTCAAAATTTATCTATGTGTTTCGTGCCAGGAAGTCTCTTGGCTTGATCATCTTGGACTTTTCAAGTGCCTGGCCTTCCATCAACAAACATTCACCAAAATCGAATTTGCGATAACGCCTTCAAAGCAATCTGAGAAAATATTGGCAAATTTGTTGTTTTTCTCTTTTCAACGTCGGTTAGTTTCCGCCCATAAAACCACTGGGCACTAAAAATAGGAAAACCAAAAAAGATTCAATACGAGAGAATTAATAAAACCGGCCATAATACCGAGGAGGGTGCTGGAGGCTTACTGTCTAATACAGAAACCCAAACAGCTCACAGCAGTCTTGCGTAGATGACCAGATATATTCGTTTTAAACAAGAAGAGACTTTGAGCTTTGATATTCCACAAGATAATATAGAAAATTTAAAGACGATATAAGATATGAAAATATCAATCCCTTACCAAAAAACTTTGAAATATGAAAATGACAGTTTTACCTATCGTTATCAGAGCATTTGGCATAATCCCCGAGATTATTATAAAATTCTTCCTCTTCTTCTTCTTCTTCTTCTTCTTCTTCTTCTTCTTCTTCTTTCATGTGATCTCTACCTTTAAAATGACATGGCTCTCCACAACTTCTTTATGTTGTTTCCTTCTAACCAGGATGGTTAAACTCTGTTCCATTCTGTCCCTGGTGCCTTCATTAAGTTCTGTTTCAAACGACTCCATGACTTTTCCCTTCAGTGAGTGTTCCAGAAATGTTAACTATTGAAAATCCGATTGATTCATTCATTTTCAACAGCTTATCAACCCTTCTTAGGTTATTTAAAGCCAGAAAATACTTTTAGAATTTAAGAATTTTTTTGAGAGATGATACAAGTCTCACTAATTAACCCATAGCTGGGAGGAAGAAATGGATTCATGTCATTCCCACGGCTATTTGCGCGTAAGTGGAAATAACAAACTCGACTTGAATTAGAGCTCGGCTCTCCGATTAACAATTCCAAGCCATTATCTATTGCACATTCAAGTTTACAACATCTGGTATTTACAAAAGGTCACTTATCTAGCTACTGACTAGGCTCAACATTGCTTAACTTCGGCGATTGTACGGGAACCTGTGTTCCAACGTGATGTGGCCGTAAGCCCTGAAAATCCGAACAACTGAAACTCTACCAGTGACGGGAGTACTGAGATGATTGATAAGACTTGTTGTCACTTGAGACTCTGTTACGGCTGCTTTGGAAATTTAATGAGTATAACATATGGTTATGAAATGTAATTGTTTTAGTTAATATTTAAGCAATTATATCCAGTGATATTGTGTGAATGGATACAGAAAGCCTTTTACTGTAATAATTCTTGATTTTCTTCTTCTTTTTCATGGGAAAAGCGATGGTTGTCGGGTGGCAATGAAGAGGGCGTTTCTTTGTCGAAAGTTTGGTTTGGTTTGGTTTGGTCTGGTTTGGTTTGGTCTGGTTTGGTTTGGTTTGGTTTGGTCTGGTTTGGTTTGTTTTATGGCATATCAACCTCAATGGGTTATTTAATGCCGACAAAATTTTTATTGCTGGTAATATGTTTTTCCTCAAAAATCTATTTCTGTGAATATTTTTCCTTGAAGAAATCTATAGCTGGTCATATTTTTTCTAAAGAATGTATAGCTTTTTGTATTGCTGTTATTTTTTTAAAATATTGCTGATGCTGATAATAATTTTTCCTTCAAAAAATATTGCTGTTAATATTTTTTTTTTTATTACAAATTATTTCTGGTATTAAAACCTATTTTTACACAAGTTTGGGTATCAACTATTTGCCCATAGCTGGGACCCTAACAGGTGCTACCACCTTGGGTCAGGGTGGACCTGGGAACGCCAGCAATTAAGAGGTGGTTCCACGCTTCTCAAAACCTCCTGATCAGAGGCCTTGCTGTTGGGCGTAGTTAATAGTCTTACCCAGGACGAGGATGTAGTTTATCGTCATACCCAGGACGGTTCTTTGTCGAAAGAGAAGCACATCCGATTTGGATGTTTCCCATTAGAAAATGCTCATAGAAACGGTAATAATAAAATGCAAAGATAAATAGCCAGGGAAAAGCAAGAAAGAATAGTAATCTTGTGTACCAAATTCAATTACCTGCAGGATTTAATTATTTTTCTTCTGTAACGTTAAACAAGATCACAAAAAGTAGTGATAAAAACAACAAAGAACAGGATACTAGCAGGAAGAACAAAGAACCCCCCCCCACAAAAAAAGAGAAAAACAAAAGCAATGATTAACGCAATAAGTGAATGGCATACCATTTTTCCAGTGAATATTCTTCTTCTTCGGTGTGCAGCGTCCCTTCAGGACATAGCTCTCGACAACTTCCTATCTTGTGTGACTCTTAGCACTTTTTCTCCCTTTGATAACCCCGTTCAGCCCCCCACCTTATTGGAAAATAATATATATATTAAAAAATCCACATTATAACCAAAAACATTTATTACGGCTTCTCGTATATCTTTAACACACACACACACACACACATATATATATATATATATATATATATATATATATATATTACTTGTAGAGTGGATAAACAAAACGGCCAAACCACTTAGCGAAACTATAGTCCCACGCCAAAACCTAGATACGCGTATATGTACTAATATATATATATATATATATGTGTGTGTGTGTTTGTGTTCTATGTACAGATGATATTTTAATGAATAATTGCAAAAATGTACGTTCACTGACCATTACTAATAAGTTTTGGATCTTCACTTGGCGCCTCATATTTGTAGCCTTGTGCCAGATTACATTAAGCTTTAGAAATACCACATGATGTGCTTAAACGAATTATTCCACTACGTTGGTTGATTGGTTGTTTGTTTTTTTACGCCTTATCAACCCTTTGGAAGGTTATTTAAAGCCACAAAATATTTTAGATTATAAGAATTTTTCGGAGATAATAATGATTTTACTGATACAGTTCTATTGATTAACCCATAACTGGGGGAGAAGAGATGGATTCATAGCTTTCCCAATTGCATTTTCGCGTTAGTGAATCTGATGAACCCGACTGGAATTAGAACTCGTTACTCAAGCTTCCAATTCCGAGTTGTTATCCATTACACCACCTGCACACCCAACATATAATAGGGTGTGTCAATAATTATCAGCAGTAAAGAAGTTCTTTTACATGCCGTGTCCCTTCAGGACATAGCTCTCCACAACTTTCTATCTTGTATGCTTCTTAACAATTTTTCTCCCTTTGCTAAGGCCCCCACCCTTGTTCTATCACCCATTGACACAAACTCGTTGGGTTGGTGGCTCGTTGACATCCCCTGTCTCTCTTACCGTCAAAATGTCCTGTGAGTGTTGAATTTGCCAATCCCTCCTTTCTCATTATGTGCCTAAGTAATTTCAGCTGTTTTTTTCCTGATTCTGTGTAGAAATGTTCTTTCTATCGCCATTTTCTTTAAGATTTCCTAGTTGCTTCTTCGCTCCGTCCATGGAACTTTCGGTTTCATTCTCTAAAACCACATTTCTGATGCCTTCAGTTTTGTTCTTCATTTACGGGGGAGATTAGTTTTCAATAGAGTTACACTTAGTCCAGTGTTCCTTCGGGAAAAATACTTGCTTTTTGTTGGCTCCTCAGCAACATTGACCGTTGACGTCTTTCATCTGTTGTCCATCAATCGCTTTATCAATGGGACTTTCAGTTTTCTTCTTTACAACCAAATTTCTGCTGGCTTAAGTTCTTTCTCCCACCCTTAAGGATATTAACCAACAATAACAGCCATATAGAAGGAAGAATGCCCCATAGTAATTCAGCACTCTTTCCTTTGTTTCTAACGAATAATACGCTAGATTTAGCTGTTTCATTCTGCCGAGTGAAGATAGCTAAGCGTTAGAAACTCTGACTGACACTTGGGTTTCGATCCTGGCTTGAGGCATTCGGATGTCTAGTCTCACTGAGGAGCTGTGATACAGCGAAACAGTACTGTCTGCGAATGAAAACCAACCTTAGAATAAGCTGTTTATCAGTATCTTTCTTAGATTTTAGGATGTTTCTTTAACTAGTTGAATGCAGTCAATTTCTCACCATTGTAACGTAGCTTTCCTGTGGCTTTTCTATAAATACTTTCAAGGTAATTGTTCTGATAAACTCTTCCCTATGCTACGTAGATTTTCGGAATTTAAGCAAGTTATCATCATTTTACTGTTGAATTGGCTAGAAGGAACCGCAAATTCTATGTTCTCAGTTCCTTTTCTCGAATTTCTCGCTGATAGAACTCCCTTCCGGTCCCATCTATTCCAGAAATGTAAATGCAATGTCAATCGTTATCTACTGTCCTCATCATTACTCTTCTTCTATTAATCTCGCTCCTTCATAATGTCTTTTTTTTTCTTTCACACTCAGTAACCCCTTGTGTCTTAGTGCCTTTACTGACTTGTATGGAGATAAAAAGGATTTTTTTAAATCTTCGGATCTCGGTGCCGCATTTTTCTATTCTCTGTCAAAATATTTCTGTGCCTAATTGGTGTTCATTTCATATATAAAATTTTAAATTTGACTCCTACTTTAGAATAGTCGGATTGTGAATGTCTAAAGTGATTCCAGTGACTTTTCTAAAGGACAGCAGAAATTTTCATCTTGGAAAACGTCACGTGATGCTGTTTTCAGCTAAAGCTGATTTCATTCATATTAGATTTGCAGGATTATTCGACTGGAGATCATATTTATGAGTTCAAAAATCTTCTTTTTTTTTTCCAAATATTCTGGCATTGTGTTTCTGATTGGTTATTACTTATCTTGAAGCAACACTAAAAATAAACATGCTTAACCTAAGAGAAGTTCGTGAAAAGCCTGACGAATCATTTCGATGTTGTTAGTAGCAAATAGCCTAAGCCTCACTGGTAATTCAATAAAGTAACGTTCCTCGAATTTTGCTCGAAGAGCCGTTTCAAACAATATAACAAAACTTCGCGTAATAATTCAATACAAGCAGAATGATGGGAGCCTATTAGCAAGCTGACGAAGTAATTTCGGTACCAATGAGGATTAGTTAGCGGATATTTCATTTAAAAGTTATAAGCACAGATCTACAAATCCGGAAATTTTTAGAACCACCTCCTATTATATATATATATATATATATAGGAGATAGATTCTGAAATATATTTGTGTTTTCTACTAGTATGTTTCTAATAGAGTCGGGTAAATTTGTGTATGTGTTTAAATGGGTTCTAATGGAGCTGTGATCAGATAGGTGTAACGTAAGCCGTCTGGATAAGCATGTGGTTGTGCAACCAATGTAATTATTTATGAGTCCGGTTTGATCAGGAACACAGTTCCTTAAGGGGCATTTGAACTCATAATGTTCGTTCTTTGTAATTTTGACTTAGCTGGTGTGTTGTTATTTTTGAGGATAAGGTTAGCTGTCTTACATTTTTTATAATAGATAATTAATTTGATTTTTTTATTCGGATCAATAGGAGTAGTATATTTCTTTATAATATGCCTTAGAGAAGATTCGTCTTGTTTGTAATTAATATGCATTTGGTTTTTGTAATAAATGCGTATGTGATTTTTGGCTGTGTGTTCACTATCGTTATTACTTGCTATGAACCCATTTAAACACACCCCCAAATTTACCGTCGTTTTTAATGAAACATGCATAAAGGAAGGATTGCTGCCTAAATATACAACTATCATATATATATATATATATATATATATATATATATATATATCGTCTGCAGCCGCTCTCTCACAGGCGTGCCGTTGCCTCCCTCTGTCTTTTTTACAAATATTTTCATGGTAACTGCTCCGATGAGCTGCTTTCGCTGGTTCCCAAATTCATGAATTTAAACGTTCTACTAGGCTGGCATCTCGCTAACACCCTTTCACAGTCGAAACTGTTAAATGTAGCCGCCTCTTCTACCCCAATAGCTTCATGTCTCGCACTTCTCGCCTGTGGAACTCCCTCCTCTTTTCTTGTGTCCCTGATAGCTATAATCTCCAACTATTCAAATGTAATGTCAGTCGACGTCTCCAGATACCCTAATCTATCCCCTAACCTTCTCTTCATCCTTTCCTCTATCACTCCTATCTTTGTAACCCTTGCGTGCTAGTGGCTTCCCGCCTTGATTC